TACCGTATTCTTGTTTGGGTGCAGTCACACCATGCACATCTCGTGTGACACACACCTGATACCAGGGTACGTGTAAGCCCGTTACAACACGAGTTTTGGAAAGACGATCAAGTAGCGACAACAACGATGAAAACCGTGCTTGGACGAAGAACGTGGTTATTAAGTACCACAACATCTGCGAGGATGTGAAATAGGGAATTTTGAAGATAGACAAAGCGTCAGCTTCTAGATATACTGACAAAGGCAAAAGAAAATACTTGCGTGTTTATGCAAGGCAGCATGTGTCAAAGACCAAATAAGCATTTACGGCGTGTGGGAGTTTTGAGATGACGCCGCTTAATACTATTGATCAACGATATTGCGGACATTTGCTAATTTTACAGGCATAAGTATTACATTTGTTCGCGCAGATAAGAAACTCAAATGTGACTCCACTTTCATGATTAAGAATTCAAATCGCCCAAGGAACCAAGATCAATTTTACGGTGTTCATAGTTCATAGTGGGGTACCTAGCCAGTACCTACGTCCCCTCGCCCTTTTTAATAGTCTACTGACCAGATCGTACTTTATTACGGCAGAGTTATTTGGTATAGATATGGCAGTACGAGAAAGGCACAGCAGCATAATAAACTTTCTAGTTCGGGTCTGACTATCAAATCAACAGTATTTAAGAAGATATGGGCTTCCTATCTGTTTGCATCGGTTAGAGCTGACTCTACTGACGCTTGATTCATTTGTGCACGGCGCATGGTAACTTTTTATAATAGGTATCATCGAGCAAAAAAGGATTATCGATCAAGGCACAGGATAAATTTGGAAATTCCGAAGTGCCTTGATACTGCACACAGAAATGCAATCTTCCATGTAATAAGTAGGCATATGGTCAAAGATAGTGTAAGGATTCCTTTTGATACTCAATTTTGTACCATGTGCGACACCTTTACATTGGGGACACCCAGTATGTTTGGATAGCTGTCTTTGACGGTTAGTCTTAGCTTAATATCAGACTAAACTTATGGTAGGTTCTAGAGGTACAATTTTGAGTCAGCTGTAGAATCGTCAGTTCTCGTGCCATAATCAACTAGGCTATCCATAGAAAACTCAGCTTCCTTTTTAATTTCTTTTTGCGATAAGATGCTTGATGTGACGAACACATTCTTCATTCCAAAACCTAAATATCTCGACAATGCCCCCCAACGCTTCCATTCCGACTCCCGAAATGACACAAAGTGACGACCGACACCAAGATGCCTCCGTGCAGCAACTCGATGCACCGACCACGAATGTGTCCATGGTGCCTGTTACACCTCGAGAAGACGATACTGTGCCATCGCAGCGCCGCCGACCAGTGTCTTTGCCTGTCCAGGTGCAGGAATGCACCATGCAGCGCATTCTCGTGACAGGCGGCGCTGGATTCATTGGTATCCATTTGTGCCGCCATTTGCTGGAGAAAGGCCATGAAGTCATTTGTCTCGATAATTTTTTTACTGGTCAGCGCGCAAATGTGCTGGAATTGCAGTCCCGTTACCCAAGCTTTGAATTTGTGCGTCACGATATCACAGAGCCGTATTTTTGTGAAGTTGACCAGATTTACAATTTGGCGTGTCCAGCATCACCAGTACATTACCAGCACAACCCTATCAAGACGACCAAAGTCTCGTTTTTGGGCGCTATCAATATGTTGGGCCTTGCTAAGCGCTTGAAGGCACGTGTGTTTCAAGCATCTACCAGTGAAGTATATGGAGACCCAGAAGTCTCACCGCAAGTGGAGTCGTATTTGGGAAATGTTGACTGCACCGGCGTAAGAGCGTGTTATGATGAAGGCAAGCGAGTGGCTGAAACGCTTTTTTTCGAGTATCATCGTACACAAGAGGTGGATGTTCGTGTAGCGCGCATCTTCAATACATACGGTCCGGGAATGCATCCTTACGATGGACGTGTAGTGAGCAATTTCATCATGCAAGCGTTGCAGGGAGAAGACATTACCATATACGGCTCGGGCAGTCAAACGCGTTCGTTTTGCTACGTGGATGACCTCGTTGAGGCCATTTTGCGCTTCATGGATTGCAAATCATGTGTGGGGCCGATGAATCTGGGAAACCCTCACGAAATGACGATCCGCGAACTCGCTGAGATGGTCATTCGCTTGACGAACTCTCACAGCCGAATAGTGTTCAGGGATTTGCCTAACAACGATCCAAAATTAAGAAAGCCTGATATCACCCTTGCCAAGTACGTTGCTATCAACGATTTTAAATTTGCCGAGCAGCTAATTCTTACATGTTTATGTACTGTTAAGGGCGCATTTGGATTGGAAACCCCATGTAGACATCGAAGAAGGTCTTCTGCGCACCATCACATATTTTCGGGCCTTGGACCTATCCAAATTCAAGCTACCAACCAACAACACTGCGCATCGCATGAGTGAGATTGCGAACCAGGTTAAAGCGACAAGTATCCGTTAAAATACGCTCTAGAGGCTTCATCTCTTGTAGAGATATATATGTGAATGAAACAGTGTCAGTAGGTTTTAAAGCATTAACGATTTGAAATTAACAGATGCAGTAATGTATTACTATCTAGCATAGCGGCAGGATTTGACCGCCCTGAATTTTAATACATAAAGAATGTAATCCCAAGCATGAAGCAGGTAGCAGTGTGCATGATGATTGATCGTGGGAAGCATGCACTTCTCATTTCTAAATTTATTCTTATTGCCTGGCACAGAATATCTACGAGGACTTGAAATTTGAAAGAGCACCCGCAACACCAACCGAATTGCTTTCAACAAAGTCTCCACTTTTATTTTGCTCCGCCATCTCTAAGCGTGCCCGTTCCTCACGAATTTTGGATACGCCACCACCTTGACCAAATTTTGCTCCAGGAAATTTGACAATCACGACGCTCATATTGTCACGACTGTACAACAGAAAGAACAATCAGCAAATGAGCGTCAGTACGATGTTTCTGTTAAGACGCACCTTCCAGCACGAAGGCAATTATCCAAAATCTCTTCTGCTATTAATTTGAGATCCATTTCGCCGTCATTCATAAGCTGACGAATGTAAGCGCAAATTTCGTCGTTACTCATGACGTCCCAAATGCCGTCACATGCAAGCACCAAAAACTCCTCAGTTTTCTCAATCTTTTGCACTTGGATTTCAGGCTCTGCAGACACCTGCTGCTTCTCCGCAGGTAAATCTGCACGAGCCTTGTACGAAAAGTCTCCCAGAGCCCGCGACACTGCCAGATCTCCATTCACGCGATTGCTGCGCACTAGACCACCGGCTTGTTCTATACGCTTGCGTTCTTCTGCCTGCAATAAAATCGAAACGACTGAGTTGACTATTATCTAATACTGCAAAGATTGATCACTAATTGTACATTGATGGGCTTGTGGTCGAAGGACATTTCAACTGTGCGGCCGCCCTTGGCCATGACGCTACGTGAGTCACCCGAATTAGCCACTATGATGTGTGTTGGGGTGACAAGCGCGGTAATGGCGGTGCAGCCACTTTGGTCCGAGGCATAATTCTCGTCGAACGTTTTGCGAATGTTTTGATCCAGATTCATGAAGGCGTCACGCATGGCCTTTCCGATCTTTTTGGGGTCAGCGCCTTCTGCTTTGCCTCCTGGGAAAATGTCACTTTTCATGACAGCTGCAAACTCTTTTGTTATACCCTCGGCAGCGAGATCTGCAGCCAGTCGCCCACCGTGGCCGTCAAACACTGCAAAGAGCGAGCAGCCTTGGGGTAACCCTTCAGGATTAATTTGAGCCACATGAGCGTCTTCCATACCCGTACGCCAGCCCTGCATCGTGGCCAAGCCAAAAAAAAGGCCATTTCCTTCACCTCCATCAGTATCTTTCTCGGTAATTGGAGTAGTTAGAAAGTTGCCCATCAGGTCGTCTATGCTCGCGGCTCTTCTCAAGTTCTTGAGTCGACTCAAGAAGATTGTAATAAATAAGCTTAATAACGGTATACCGGTGAATTATAAGCGGATAAGAATAAAAAAAGAGTCAATAGCTTAACAAAACGAGAGATTAAAGCACTTTTTTGATATTTTTTAACGTCACGTTGCCTAGTGAGATCGAATGGCAAAGTAAAGCAGCACAAATACCACAACAACAAAGAGAATGAGGTACAACATGTGTTTACTGCCACCTTGCTCCATCATTACGCCAAGTCGCTTCATTGTACCACCTAACAGGCTCTCCGTGTTATCAAACTCTTTGCCCTATCGAAAAAACACGGGAATTGTCGGCTATTTGATAACATTGATATTGAAAATAATTGCGCACCATGCTGTCCAGATAGCGATTTTGATCGATGACTTCGGAATGAATACTATTTGACAGCTGCAATGCACGACAATACAAAAATGTTCAGGCACAAACATAGTTCTAAACACTTCACTTTTATCCCACCTGTTTCAACTGTGTGATCTGCAACGATAAGTGGCTGATGTGCGCGTCATTTTGCTCCTCTAATAGACGTTTAGCTTGCTCGCCGCTGTCAACATTTCCTCCGGCCTAAAACAATTCGATAGTTAGACGGATCTCTTAAGCTTTTCACGGTTGAACCTTATGAATAGGCTTAAAGCCGTCTAATGTTACCTGTGACCGTGAAGAGCGTCCAGAGAAAAGGGTTTCTCGAGCACTCGTTCGACCGCTCGCCATCCGGTTATACATGAACTCGTGAGGAATTATTCAAAGCAGGTATGCTGTAATACCGGTAGATCGTTTTATATATATATTAGGTTGCAACAAAAGGTAAAACTAATTTTTAATGCGATATATTTACGACTAAAGTTTTATAGTCGTGTGAACCGGATGTGGTAGCAGAATTCTTCTATCACTTCTCGGAGCGATAAGTTGCGCAGGCTACTTTTAAGCTAATAGATTTCATCAATTACTTGTAACAGATGAAAGATTAACGGACAGCACATTATTGCGCTAATCTTTCAGGGTGACTTCCAAAATTACTTTAATTCATAATTTATAGAACTATTGGCTAACAGTGAAAAGCTAAATGAAGTGCTTGAATAACTTTTCAGTTTTAGCCGATAGCTCTAAAAATTTGGAAAAATTCAATCCAGGTATTGAAGTCGGAGAAAGAATCTCAAAGATTTCGCGTGGACAAACGTACAAAGACTGGTTCCAAAAGCTTCAAAAGGAGTTAAACACTAAGTATACTCTGCTATTAAGACTTATATTAGAGAACTAGTTCCATTCAGACTGATTCTAAATATGCAGCTGGGCTGTCGTAACTCTTTTGCTGAGAGGAAGCTTGGTCAAGGTCGGTGACCTTCGTTCGATGCTAAGAACCAGTACGAGTGTCGCAGATGGCAATCCATTTACTTCAAGAGTAACTACAATCTCAACCCAAGGCTAATTAACTGTTCCGTCTATATTGTAAACTGTATTTCGCGGTTTTATTTGCGGCAAAGCCGCCTAAATCTAAATCTATAGGCTTTCTATGTATATAGTAAAACATAATTAAATGTATAACTACTGGCTGTTCCGGCCACGCATTGACTTCTTGTTTGAGTGTAGCCACTCCAATAAGTTGTCGCAACGTCTTGTGTGACCCACACACTTCAAATCAAGGCACGTGAAACCCCGTTACTTACAGTTGCGATACCGAGCTATCAATATAACTACAATATCAGCCCGTTCGTGACGAGTTATACATGACCCGAGAAGTTTGACTTGCTCAACTGCATGTGGAATAGGCACGCTAAATCTTGTCAGTTAATCTCATCGTGGCTTAAATTTAAACCACCGGCAGTTGTTTGCAGCGCTAGAGCGGGCCTTTAATGAGTGCCTCAAAACTTGCTTTGCAAGCGCATTCTGACCCACAGGACAATACTTTGCTGAAAGGCCAACTGAGCTTTGAGAAGCAGCGGTTTGAACCATTCATGGAGTATTGAAAGCTGGCGAGAGTGCCGAAAAGCATCGAAATCAATTTCACGCTAGGTAAAAAACGTGCCGTCTCACCCGTCTCAAGGCCTTGCAAAACAGCTCGAGTGACGCGGACGTCCGACTGGAGCTTCAACTAATGTTTGATGCTGGGAAGTATAAAGCACGACATGGACGTCGAAAGAAAGTTTATTATCTTATGCTCCTGCTACTCAAAATCCCGCTCGTCTTCATGGTATAGGTGTCACACCAGCCGAACAAGTGCCGATCTCACGACAAGGTTAAAAATATCTGCTAGAGGTTATCTGAAAAGGATCATCCGAGACTCCCCAAAACACGGAACGCGCGCTTGAGCTTGAAAAAAAGACTTAATAGAAATGCGGTGAAACTGCTTTGAATGGAAGAAGGACTCCAAAAGCTGCATGATCAACACCAAAAGACTTCTAGAGTTTATATATATGAAACCTACATATATAGAGGTAAAGACTATGATCCTGTCAAAAAAACCTTGGATACACTTAGGTTGGATCCACGGAGAACTTGAGGGGCTTAAACTTGAAGTCTTCCACTTACTTCGGATGGTAAAGACACCAATGTTAATTCGTGCGTAGTAACTATCACACTTTACTGATTAATACGTGCTGAATTAACGGATTTTTACGAATAGTGATCGGTCTTTTATTTATTAGTAGCCTCAAGAAATCAATCACTTTTGG